TCGGTGGAGGGAGCAGCCCGAGGGGTGCTGGCAGGTAGGCAAGCTTTCGCCATCCTCCTGGGTTTTGCAAGGGATCAAAAGCATTTTTTTTTTTTGTCCTAGAAGGGCGAATGCAAGGTCTGATTTTGGGTGGGTGTCTGCGGCTGGGCTGGGGGGGCGTGGGATGCCGTAGACCTGACCGCCTTGGGGGAGCAGGGCTGCAGGTTCGGTTCAGCCTCCGAGCAGGGGGGGATTTCAGTTTTGTCGAACCCTTCTGGAGCAAAAAGCCCAGCGGCCTCTCTTCCTTCGGCTGAGCTTTCCCAGCACCTCGGCTTTCATTCCTCCCGTCCGCTGGCATGTTCCAGCCTCCTCGTTCCCATGCAGCGCTGGGCCGGGCTCGTTCCCACGTGCTGATTAAGATACAGCTGATTAAGATGCGTGACTCTCACGCGGTGCGGAGGAGAATATCTCTATTTTTTTTCCAGGAAAGCTGATGTGGCCCCAGGGAAGGGGGAACCGGTTAGGAAGGCTGGCGGGGGCCCTGCAGGGCAGCAGAGAGTCTGTGGCACCGCCACATGCAGTCACACACTGATGTTTAGCTCCCATGGAGCCTCTTCGCCTGCAGACCCATGGGCAAGGGGCTCCCAGCTCTTGCTAAACGTCGGGGCGCAGCCTGCCCCTTGCCCTGGCTTGCCCTGCGCCCTGTGTCCTGCCCTGCACCTGGGGCTGCTCCCGGCTGGCAAGCGGGATGGCGGGACGGCGGGACGGGCTGCTCGCCTGTGTGGGCCAACGCTGCCCGCCGGGGCTGCCGGTTGGCACCAGGTAATACAGACTCCACCGGTTCTGCAGCTGCTGAGCAGGCAGGGAGAGCCCCCGCGCCCGTGGAATGGGGACATGGGCTGCCCCGGCCAAACCTGCTCGGGGTGCGCAGCCCAGGCGTCCTCCTGCCTCCCCGCCGGGAAAAGACCTGCAATTAGGGAAGGAGCTGGGGCTGGGTTCTCGCCGCCGGCTTGCAGCGGGCTCAGGGGTGGCTGTTGCAAGCGAGTGCTGCCATCCGCCCACCTTTGAACTTGGGTTGTGGGAGCAAAGGGCTCTGGTGGTGTTGCCAGCCCATGGCTTTGCTGGCAGCGGCTGGGGAGGCTGGTGGGACTTGGAGGAAACAGGGGACATCTCCCAGCCTGGCTCCTGGCCCAGGTGGGACACACGAGTGATGTCTCCCTGCTTGGGTGACATCCCCTGTGTGAGGATTTTCTTTATCCCATGGGACAATGCTGCTTCCCTGGCTCATGGGGACTGAACCAGCTCAGCATCAGGCTCCTGGGGTGTATCAGGCAGGGAATGAGCCCGGCTCATCTGTCCCCCCTGAGCATGAGTGGAGATGGAAATGTTAAGCCATGTTTAAAATGCAACGCGCTGTTGTGGTTGAACCCCAGCCGGCAGGTAAGCACCACGCAGCCGTGAGAATTGGAAGAGTAAAAGTGAGAAAACTCGTGGGTTGAGATAAAGACAGTTTAGTAGGTAAAGCAAAAGCCGCACATGCGGTATGGATTAGCCCTTTGGGCAGTTGGGGTCAGCTGTCCTGGCTGTGTCCCCTCCCAGCTTCTTGTGCGCCCCCAGCTTCGCTGGTGGGGTGGGGTGAGAAGCAGAAAAGGCCTTGACTCTGTGTAAGCACTGCTCAGCAGCAGCGAAAACATTCCTGTGTTATCAACACTGTTTCCAGCACAAATCCAAAACACAGCCCCATACTAGCTACTATGAAGAAAATTAACTCTACTCCAGCCAAAACCAGCACATGCACAAATGTAGTTCCTGCTTCTGCATGGGACGAGGTGGCCAGAGCCAGCCGATGAGGGCTTACAACAGCCGGGCTGGTCCTGGCCAAGCCGGGAGGCTGTGCCGGCCCCGCAACCCCCCCAGGGCACAGCATCCCCCCGGCCAGCGCAGCCACTGCCACCCGTCCCCTGTCCCCGCTTGCTCTCTCGCCTTTGCTCTCAAACACCTTGCTCGGTGCTGTTGGCGCTGGCGTGTGAAGGATGCTTCTCACCTTGTTCTCATGCAAAGCGTTTGGAGGCTGAGCCGAGGCCAGTTTGGAAGTCGCAGCCTGGGAACCCTCTTTGGGTGAGAAGTACATGAAAGGGGGTTGTGGCAATTGCGGTCGGATGGAGAGTTTCTGCAACACGCTCAGGCTTGGAGAGCTGGGAGTGCAAAAAATGCAGAGGGAAATATTTATTTGTCATTTGAGGCAAGGCTGAAGGTAATTTTCTGGCTGTGTTTGTGAGCTGATGTGTGTGCAAGGTGGTTTGGGGGTCCAGTGCTGGGGAGACCTCCTGCAAACCCAGGACAAAGCTCACCCTGGTTCTAACTCCTCCCGTCCCTCGGTGCCGCAGGTTGGTGGCTTTGCCTGGGAGAACTGTGGCGACAGCAGGAACCCCGTGGTGCTGCAGAGCCTCTCCGTGGCGCCTGACCCCATCAGCATCCCGGGGAGCCTGCGTGTTAGTGCGGCCGTCAGCAGCAGCAAGACCATGGCCTCCCCTCTGAAGGTGCGTGCCGGAGATGCCTCCATGGGACAAGGGAGGGCAGAGCTTCCCAAAACCGCCGGCAGCTGGGAAATGCCCAGCAGCGGGTATGGGAACAGCAACATTTGGGGGAACGAGGCATGGAGCGGTGCAGGGTGGAGCACACCAGGCTCTGTAAGCCAGAACGGGGCAACGGGCATGGGGAGACCCGCCGTGGGAGCCGACAGCCCGGTGGGAAGCTCCCAACCTTGTCCCAGCGGGAGAAACCACCTGAGCTGTGTCGTGTCCTGAGGCCGTAATGACTCAGGGAGGGAAATGAAACCCCAAGTGCTTTGGGCGTTCCTGGCGGTTGCTGCAGCACTCCTTTTTCAGCAGCCAGACCTGGCTACTCCCTCCAGGGACATGCCACGGCACTGCTGTGGGAGCCCCGAGCTGGCCCGGCTGCCCTGCACCACTTTTTGGAGACTTTTTGGGATGAGACTGAACATGTCTCTCTGCCCAAAGTGCATGGGCTGTCTTGAGCAACGCCACGGTGCCCGTTTGGGGCTGGGGCTGCGGGAGCGTGCCGGGGGGGCAGAGCTGCGGGATGGGAGCTGACGGGCAGTTTTGGGACAAGGCACCGAGGAGAGGGAAAGGAGCGGGTACGTGGGGTGCTGGGAGGTGTTTGCTCAAGGAGTCAAGCTGAGATTGGAGGAAGAGAAACCTGCAGGGAGAGAGGAACAGAAAGTAGGAGGGGGAGCTGGGAGGACATGTGGTGGCCCCATGGACACCCCAAAGAATTGCACGAGAAGGAGCTGAGAGAGATGGCTGGAGGGGGGCCTGGGACAGGCTGGAGGAGCTGTGGGTGCCCATGCTGGCTGTCCTGGTGCCGAACACCTTCCCTCCAGGTGGTGCTGGTGGTGGAGAAGGCGCTGGGTGACCTCTGGATCCAGCTGCCCTGCATCGACCAGCTGGGCAGCTGCACCTACGACGACATCTGCACCATCCTCGACAACATCATCCCGCCCGGCACGCCCTGCCCGGAGCCCCTGCTCACCTATGGCATCCCCTGCCACTGCCCCTTCAAAGCGGTACGCCTGAAACCTCCGGCCGGCGCGATGCCGGCAGCGCCGCCGGGTACCACTGTGCCCTTCGGCGTGGGGCTGGGGGGGGTGGTTCGGCTGGCGTCTCACCTACCTGTCCCCTCTCTCTGCAGGGCTCCTATTCCCTGCCAGCCAGCGACTTCGTCCTGCCTGACGTGGAGCTCCCTGCCTGGATGACCAATGGCAACTACCGTGTCCGTGTGGCTGTCAGCAATGGCGGGGAGGAGCTCGCCTGCGTCAAGCTGGCCTTCTCCCTGCAGTCCCAGTGAGGAGTAGGGGGGGCCCGTCTCTCCTCTCCCATTTGTCCCCTGTCCCATCCCATCCAGTTGCACCCCATCCCGTCCCATCCTGTCCCTGCGAGCTGCATCCCTCCCGCTGCCAGGAGGAGGCAGTGTCCGTACCCCGGCTCAGTGCCCCCCTCCCCTGCTAAACACAGAAAGGCCCCTCCAGCTGTCCCACTGTCCCCAACCCCATCACCAGGGTGTCCCCTTCCCCGGACAGGGTGGCCGTGGAGCTAACCCCAGCCTTTCAGCGTGACCTGGGGGTAGTAATTTTTTACCTAGTTTCTCTTTTTATTTTTTCTTAATCCCATCCAGGGAATTTTAGACAAAAACATTCCAGGGAAAAGCAATATTTCTTGAAGCAGTCCATGGGGCGAGGGAGTGTTTGGGAGTGCTGGGGCAGGCTGGAGGGATGCAGGATTAGCTGCGAGGGTGTCCCTGCTTGCCCCCACCACCTTCAGGCGGAGCACAGGGCTGTTTTGCAGAAGTGTCCCCAAAGTGGCCACAGGAGACCTGTCCCCCTGTGGCAGCTCTGGGTCTGCCTTTGGTGCATCTCTGTCCTGCACGTGGGACCAGCTTGGTGACACGAGGCACTGGTGAGGGCACCTTCCTCTGTCCCTGCTTCGGCAAACATCACAAGCACAACAGGACTGAACCCACCCAAACCCCCGACTGATGTTTCCCCTCGCAAAGGACCAAATGGCTGGTGATGCTCCCAGCAGCAGGAGAGGCGGCTGGACATGGGCTGCGCTCGCTCCAGGGGGGACACACGGCTGTGACAGGCAGCTGGGGCACAGCCTGGCTGAGGACAAGTCCCACTCATCTCATTTTGCCACTGGGACTGAGCCGAGGCAGGATGCTGCATGGGACCATCCTTCCCCTGGGGCAGCATCCCAGAAATGGGATGGACTGGGAGATGACCGTGAAGACCAGCCGCCTGGGCTCTGTTTGGGGGCCCTGCAGTCCATCTCCTGGTCGTGGCCGGGGGCCGAGGTGTGGGCAGGCAGCATCCTTCCTGCCTGCTGCTGCAGGCAGGGCCTACGTCTGACACCACCTGCCTACGACAGGTCCCCGCAGGGTGCAGGTGACCCACCAGCCTCCCGCATCCCTCGCTTCCTCACCGTCCCTGCCTGCTCGCATTATTTAGCCTCTCCGTGGGGCTGGTCTTCCTCCGAGCACTTTATACGCCTTAACTACTGCCGGGCTGCCCCAGCGGGAGGTCCTCTGCCCCGCAGACATGCTCCCACCGCCTCTCTGTGCCCTCGACTCACTCCGTTTCATCCTGCTGCTGGGTCCGACCTGGGTTTGTTTTGCCTGGAGAAGCGCTAACCCTCTCACCCCGCCACCGCGCAGCGCCTGTGCCAGGGCAGCATCTTCCTTTCGGGCAAGTACTGCAGGTTCTTAATAAATCTTTTTACCAGGAAGCGGAGCTGGTGCCTCTTGGTGCTGGGGGGTGACCGGGGGGTGGCCTTTGTTTCCCTTGAAATAGTGGGGATGTGGTTTTGAACTGGAGGAAGCAAAGGTGGTGTTGGGGCTGGGGGAGGGGACAGTGGTGGAGGATGCTGCGGCCAGAAGAGCTGAGTGTGAGCAGCGCCGAGGCCGGCTCCCGTGCGGGGGGCACAGCGGGGGTCTGCAGCCGCTGCTTTCGGACCCCG